ACTCCCTCCTTACAAACTAAAACAAAAATTGCTTAAACTAAACCTAACTTTTTATTTCTAGGACCTTGTACCTCGTCCCTTTACAAACGCCATCGACTAAGTCTACTAATGAAAAACTAAATGACATTCTATATAATATTGGTACATACGGTTAGCACTTAGAATAAATATGAATACTTAAGCGGCTAATGAGAATCTAATAATAAAACTAAAATAAAACAAATGTTTACCGTTTACACGACTTACTCAAAACGCTAAACAAAACTTTTTGCATGTCACAGGTCTAATGTCTCTAACAAAATCATTAAGCCGCCTCAAGTTTGGTCTCCTCTTCGCTCTCCTCTTCGGATTCCGGAAAGAGAAACTCCGGAAAGTCCGTTTCTGCTCGGCTCTTCGCTGGTGTTGGATCCGCCTGACGATCTTTCTGATGCGGGTGAAAAGGTTAGGTTAGGTTGTGACCGGAAGAATAACTATTTTGTGTGAATAAGTACGGTCGCCACCTACTTTGACCCTTTAAGTAAGAAGGATTACCATCGGTTTTGTTTGTTTCACCGAACGGACTCACCGGACTGGTAAACATCCACCCGACGCCTCTGGATCTACTTGTTCGGGAAACCAGGACCTGGTTGTTTGCTCAGCTCAGAAACTAATTCGCCACAGTTAACTTAACCAATAAAAACATTTAATGTGTGTGTTCAAATTTACTGACAGTTTATTGTTACTGATGTTGAGTATTCAAACAGAGATACATGTAAAAAACACTTTTCTGAACGTTAACACAACGCGTGTTTTACTTACTACGAGTTGCCTGATTGTGACTGATTTGTACACTAGACCCTATCGGTGGCGAAGTTCAGACAAGACTCCCGTGCGACGCGTTCAGTCTCTCCACAAAAGCTCGCTACTCCCACTAACCGCTCACGCATGCGCACTTCTCTTTAGGCTTATTTTTCTTGAATTGTGAACCAGACTGCGCGTAGCTATTTCTTTAGTTTTCCGCTACCCCGACTTGAGGTTGTAGCCATTAATCCTAACTTCTTCACCATGTTTACCCTTAACTAAAAAATTTTAAATGTGAAAAATTTTTACTTACACAGTCTAATCATCACTCGAGAAAGATATTCCCAAAGTTTCCCGAACAATTCGTTACTCCTTTTACTGCCAACGCTACGTGTACAAAAGTAAACTTTAACAATTGTGCCCTTGCCACGCGTCTCAACACCAATTAACATTCCATCGTGCGCAATATCAGCAACAACTAAATGTTAACACCTAACTTATGTTTACATACACGTTCCCACAACCACGCGAATTGTGGCCGAAACTCTCACAGGCGCTTCCTATTCTATCAAACTATTACCACATTCAATAACACCAACAATTAGGTTTTTTGACCTAACCGGGGTTATTCCAACACCAAGTTAGTCACTCACCAACCTTTTTTTTTTTTTTTTGTTATCGAGGGGAAATGCGTTACGCATACCTGGCCCTTCGGGGGAAGAAGCCAGGGTATGTGGGACTCCTGCCAAAGAGACAGTTTACTCACTAAAACCCCCCGGAGATCCTCACGCACTACGAGGGAGAGAGTGGCTGCCCGGAGGCACTTACTTCGCCCCTCTTTCTCTGTGCCCAAAGGCGGAACTCCGCCTTTCCACGCTATGTATACGGGGAAAGAGACCGGATCATCTTGAGCCTCCTCCCCCACCTCTGTGCAGGCTGCGTGCAATGGCCGAGAATAACCCCAGTTATTCCCTTCTTGCAGCCTGCTTGATGTCCAACAGCCCAATTCCCCGTCTCCACCTCTATACAGAGAACAGGGACGAGGGGAGGACCGGACATTTACCACCATGGCGCACCATAATAAATAAATAAATATAAATAAATAAATAAATGCGTTTGGACTCATGCAAGAATAAATAAAAAATCTTGATTGTCCACTAACTCATGCTACCCAAGAGGTTGTTGGCCCTGCCGTACCCTCTCTGCTTCCTCTTTGGCGGACATTACCGCCTCACAAAAGACAAGGAATGCCCGCCAACTCTCTTTCCTCTCTATCACCTCAACAACAGATGAGAGGGAGAGATCTAAACCTACTTCCGCTACAAGTCGGATCCGCTCTCGCAACCACGCGGGGCATTCGGCCAGTGTATGCTGGGCCATATCTATATCAACCCCTCCACAATGTTCACAGAACGGGGTGGGTGCCTTACCTATACGGTGTAAGTAGGCGTTAAATACACCGTGCCCCGAAATAACTTGTTTGGCCCGAAAGGTCAAAGTTGCTTGACCGCACTTTAGCCACCTCTCTAAAATAGGGCCAAAGGCCTCTCGAACTCGGCGACCATAAAGAGAGGGTCTTTGTAAACGCTCTTGCCACATTTGAACTGCCTCACGTTCAACTTGCGCTATAAGTGCAGACGGATCTGCGGGAACCTTCATATCTTTGCCCCGTCTAAAACCGGGGTGCAGGAGTTCATAAATCCTGGCCTGACGCATTGCCAAAAGATCGACAGGCAACATGCGGACAAGGACACGGGCAGCCTCGCACAAGATCGTCCGATACGCACTAATGATTCTTATAGCCACAAGGCGTTGTACCATGACAAGAGGGTCAGAGACCCTACCCACCCGTAACTCTCGGTACCAGATTGGTGCGCCGTACAACATCACCGAGTGGACAACTGTCGAGTACAGTTGCCTGACTCGGGTATGAGGACCCCTTAAATTGGGCATCAATCCAGCCAAAGCGTTGGCCATTCTAGCAGCTTTTTCCGCTACTCGACTAAAATGTTCGCCGAAAGACCATTTCTCGTCGATCCACATTCCTAAATAGCGCATGCTAGGACAAGAAAAGACCGTCACACGGTTAACTAAAACGGAAACCGGGACTCCTCTTTGGCCTCGAGGTCGAAAGGCTACGACTTCCGTTTTGTCTGGAGATAATTCCAGGCCCAAAGTACGCATCCGTCGCGCGACCACAGCAACAGCCATTGAGGCTCGATTTGCTGCCTCTCTGTCAGAGTTTCCGCCAGCCAGGACCAAGGTGTCATCAGCGTAACATACGAGGGAGCACTCCATAGGGAGGCCCTCCCACAGCACGCAATCAAACCCCACACTCCATAGCAGCGGACCTAACACGGAGCCTTGCGGGACTCCACACGACACCGCCCGAGATCGGAGTCGTCCATCTGCACACGGAAAGACGATCCATCTGTTCTCCAGGTATGACTGTATCACCGCTTGTAAGTATGTGGGGAACACCCATTCTCGTATTGCTCTATGGATACCATTTTATGACAGCGCATTGATTGCGTTCTTAACATCCAATGCCACTGCCACGCATGAATCGCCCGCATTTGTAAAGTCGGCTACCGTCGTCCTAAATAGTTGGACCGCATCACACGTGGATCGTCCAGCCCTAAACCCAAATTGGCAAGGTGAGAGTCTACCACACTGAGTTATGTGGTCTTCCAGCCGACCAACCAAAATTCTCTCGAACAACTTGCCAATTTCGTCTAACAAGCATATCGGCCTGTAGCTTGCCCGACCTGGTTTGGGAATTAGCACCAAACGTGCACGTTTCCAGGCTGCTGGAAAAATGCCCCGATGCAAACAATTATTAAAGCACCTAAGAATAATGTCCGGTGCTATTGCCGCGACTCTAGTCCATACTGGGCCTATAATGCCGTCCATACCTGGGGCGGTACATTTTCGTGCCATTCGTTGAATAGCATTACGAAGCTCCAAACCGTTGACTTCAAGGTCAGGTGCCAATAGATCTTCATCCCATGTTTCTGCGCGATTAACCTCACGCACAGGGAAGAGGCCGTTAACAACATCCAGTAATTCATGGACGTCCATCGTTTCTGTAGTGGAGGGTCCAGCCGCTCGCAGGCGAGACATCACCACCCGATAGGGTGTACCCCACGGATCACCATCTACTGCAGAAATTAACTCTTTCCAAGCCGATTTTTTGGCGGTAAGTATAACGCTCTTGAGCGCACGTTGCATATCGCGCAAAGAGGTACGTAAAACTTTAAGTGCCTCTGGTTCCGTATTTCTGCGTATTCTAGCTCGGGTGTATCGCCTCCTGCGAGCCAAGCATTCTGATCGCAGTCGCGCTATTGCAGGTGACCACCAATAAGTAGACTTCCGTGCCGTCATTCCCCGAACTTTAGGCATGGAAATGTCACAAGCATCTGTAACTGTACGGTTCAGCCAAGCCGCCTCTTCATTCGGCTGAGTTTCAGGGGCAATTGGATCACCCCAGATTGCCCCCAGAACCGCCGCTTCAAACATATCGGTATTACATACCTTATTATTCCAACGCGTGAACGTGGGGCGTCGAACAACGGGCCTACCAACTTTATCTTCGGTAACAACAAAGGATACGTACAGATGGTCTGATAACGACTCCCTCCTCAGCACCTGCCATGTCTTCACTAGCGGAACCATTGACCTGGACCCCCAGGAAAGGTCTACAATGGAGCTGCTCTGTGGGCGAACACAGGTAGCCACCCTGCCCCTGTTCAGAATCAGGAGCCCAAGCAGAGCAGCCCATTGCTCCACTAGTTGACCTCTCCGGTTCGGACGGGAGGAGCCCCAGGTAGCTGATCCGGCATTAAAGTCGCCGAGAACCAGCACCGGGTCATCCCCCGCACGCCGGACACTATCACCCAAAGCCCCCAGTGAAGCTTCAAAATCCCCGATACGAGAATTAGGAGAGAAATAACAGCTGAACACTGCTACTCTGCCCCATCGCACCGCAACAAATCCGTGTCCGCGCTCTATAACTTCGCGAACTTGCCTGCTTCCAAAACGCGGCAACCAAGTGACCGCCGCCAGTCCATCTAAGTCTGCCGCCCAATGCGGCGAATCAGGTATACGCCATGGCTCTGAGATTGCCATCAGCGCCACCTCCTTTTCCCGTAGGACCTGGATTGCCAGATCCTGTGCCGGACTACTCCGGTTAACATTAATTTGTAAAAATTGCGCTATTTTTAAATTTCCATGGGCATGCAGCCGACGTCCTGGCCGCTAACTGCTGCCCTCCGCACAGCATTTGTTTCCTCAGCAGGGATTCTACGGCCCCGCGAGCCGTAACCTCCTAGCATTTTTGCTCTGCAGGCTGCTCCACCTGCTCTGTGACCAGCTGGAAAACCACGCGACTCACAGGGGATACAACGAGCTGTCCCCGTACAGTCCCGCGCCACATGCTCGTTGCCACCGCACCTATAGCAGGACTTGCTAAAATCCTCTTCATTCGGGCATACCGCCCGGACATGGCCGAACTCCATGCATTTATAGCACTGGAGTCGCCTGCCCGGGAGTAGCGTAACATGAGCTCTCGTCCATCCTACTCGGATCTTTCCTACTGTTGCCGCTTTCTCAGCGACAACAAAGGGGCACTTTACCCACATCACACCGGTACGTCCTCGTCCTTCCCTAAGAGGTCCCGTCCGGATGTCCGCAGCCGTGCACACCCCAAATTCTCCTAAGGCTAGTGCTTTCTTCACCTCTTCAGGTTCCGTACAAGCATCTAGTCCCGAGATACGCAGTTCTCCTTGCTGCACAGGTCGGGATCACTGCCTTGCCCTCTAACACCGGGGATAACACATTCTTCAGACGTTCCGCCTTCTCGGCTCCGTCTGTACCGGGAATTTCTATTAAAATACCCCCTCCCACATCTCTACGAACCCTTGTGTCCGTAATACCAAGGTCCTGCAATTTTACTTTTTCCTTTGCAGTCCTCATTATATCAGCATACGTGACTTTATCGTCTTGAACACGTCTAATTGCGACAGCTGCTGGTCTGCGGCGTCGTCGTCGTCGTCCCGATCCTGATGTAACAGGGACTTCTACAGGGCGCGTACGCAACTGTTGTCTCTGCGCACGAAGTGATAGCTGAGACAAGGGTTGAGACTGAGTATTAACCCATCGTGCCCGCTTATTCTCTAAGGGGGCATTGCCCATTCTCTCTCTCTCTCTCTCTCTCTCTCTCTCTCTCTCGCTGTATCGTTTGTGATCCTTCTCCAACTTTCACTCAGAAAGCAGGGTTACGGCGTGTACTCTGTATTGCACGATTTGCACCCAGTTTCCGGGAAAGGGCCCCGCCACGCTTAACCACCGTGGCCCAGTCGGTTTCTACAAACTGATCGTCGTATTCGTTATCAGTCGTTATGGCTGCGTTAGTCTGACCTTGTTTACGGCTTACAAAGTCAACACCATCCTGTACCTTAATGTGTACATCCTTTGGGAGCTTCGGGTCCAGAAGTCCAATGACCCTTTCTAACATGCCCTCCATTCTTTCCATCCGATGTTCAAGGGCCGTTATCCTCCCTTCCACTCTTGATTCCTGGATTTCCGGGCCAGTGCCAAACCCTGTGGTTCTACCAGAGCTCCGTTGTTGTTGCTGTCGCTGTTGTTGATGTTGCCGTTTCTGCTGCTGTCTTTCTTGTTGCCGTCGCGCTGATATCGGCAAGGTTCCCGGTGGTAAGGCCACAACCGACGTTACCACCGGGACTCCCTCGGTTTGTACTGCACTCTCTTTCATTCGCTTCCTTTGGGGCAGAGGTGGTGCAGACCTAGACTCGTTTTTAGCCCATCTTAGCTCGCTCTCTAATTCAGCGACCTGTCGTTTGTACGTCGCGATCTTAGCCATCATCTTAGTGTTACGTTCCGTTTCCAACTCTCTCTCTCTCTCACCATCAGATAGACCCTCCACTCCGGAACGCGCATCGTAGGCTTTGGCAGCTCTTTTAACCGAGCCTGCTATCATCTTAAATAAACGTACATACCCTCCCTTGAGGTTACCACTCTTTTTTGTGTAGTACTCTAAGGAGTCCATGCCACGTCGAATATGGTCCACAATTTGTGGTCCAGTAAGGAAATCGAAGTCCTCTACTTTGGAGAATTCCTCCGGCTCGCTACCCAAACTGCTACTAGAGCGGCGCGCGGAGGCCGATCGTTTTTTGGGGCGAGACTTCTTCGACTTTGCTTTAGTTCCATCCGTAGAAGTCGAAGGGCCTTGCTCGACACAATCTCGAGGGCGTTTAAACGCAACCTGTTTACGCTATGTTGGGCTACCAGTACTGAACGCTTGGCCAAGCACTTCAGCAGGCGTATCCAAATTTAATAACTTATCCATTAGGCCATCCATGGTGGCCTCATCTTCTGACGACAAAGATATGCTTGTTATCGATTGGATCGTGGAGCCCACTGTAGTCAGAAGTCTGCTCTCAGTTCGTAGCTCAGATGGAGCAGCAGACGACGCACTTCCTTGACGCTTTGTGTCCTCTTTGTCTGCAGTAGCTCTCTGAACCGCGTCGCCTGCATCGCACGGCGCGGCCAACCCTTTGTTTGATAACGACGGTACGGGAGCAGGGCAAGCACTCCCGAGCCGCCGGGACCTGTGCGTCCGATCGCACTGGTCCGGTACTACTTCTTCCTCCGTTGTCGACATCTCCATAATATTTAGGGTGGTTTGATTTCGGAGTATCCGTCTCCTAGGATGGTTCCCGGCCAAAAGTAACGAGCCCATCCTGCCCGGGTTTGAAGTCAGGGTTTTCCTTCCCCTAGTCCAGTGGCCGTCCCGAAAGCGCCTCTCGGAGCTGGACACCCCGGATTTGTAGTCAGGGTTTACTCCCTTAGTCCGATTGCGCCGTGGCTGACGGGGTCGGACGCCCCGGATTTGAAGTCAGGGTTTTCTCCCCTATCCCAGTTGCACCGGCAAGAAATGCTAAGCGAGGCTGGGACCCCCCGGTTTTTATTCAAGGTTTTTCTTCCTCTATTTCCTCTCTTAGTACAGGATCTCCGCAAAAGGCCTTACTGGCATGGGTGACCCTACCAGGGAATCAAAGGATTCCCCGCCAGTATAGCCCCTCCGCTTCACAGATCCTAAGCCCGGACACCACGACAAGGTGGAGGAAAATCGCCCGGGAGTCACTCACCAACCTAACCGGAACAATTGTTGTCTAAACTGTGTCCACCGTTAGTTTACACGGTGACTAACAACCTGTGTGAGTTTTGACAAGAACTCACACTCCCTTTTTATTCTTTAAGTTTTCGTCTCGGGCTAGTTTCCACCTTGGAGACGCACCGCTCCATCTCAACCTGTACTTTGAAAGTTACTAACCTATCTTTCTCTGTTTCAGGTAAGGGTCTGACCGACCAAGGAGCAATGTCACCTAACTCAGATGACCGAAACTGACCCGACTAGCACTAAGGTAGATACATAATTTTCCACAGTTCTAATCGTCGCTCTCCTTTTGCAGGCCGTTTCCTTTTCCAGTCGACCAGTGCGATTACGCCGACTTTGATAAAGGTTAGTATTTTGTCAATATCTAACTTGACACACTTAACTTTTACAATTTTCTACAATTGTGGACCAAACTTTGCACACACGCTCGCAACACACAAACACGTCCATCTTAGAAGTTTCGCCAACAATTGAAAAGGTTAGTTTCAATAAAGTTGAAGTTTTAATACTAACTTCTTTTCTATTAACTAATTGTCTTTTATTCTTTCAGGAACGACTCTTCAACAGGTAATCAGTAACTTGGTGCAGTCACGCTGACTTTTCGGTAAGTTAGATTTAGATTACTACCTAACTTGAGATACCTAACTTTTACAGTTTACTAGAATTATGGAAACCAAACCCTGCACACATGTTTGCAACACACAAATGCGTGTGTTGTTTACCCCGAAAGTTTCACCAACAATTGAAAAGGTTAGTTTCAATAATGTACCCGACATTATTAAATGTCAGTTTGGCGAGTAGCCTCTTCAATTGAGATCACTCTAAAATAAAACAAAACAATGTACTCTTTTGATTAAATAAAACCTGGGCATTATGCACTCCAAAAAAAGTTGTACAATTACAAATACCTAACAAAACATTACACAAATAATATTGTTGCAAGATGCGGCGCGTTTCGTCTACGCGGTATACAAAGATGTTCGTTGAACGATCGATCGCTTAGATGTTTTTGTTCGGGTAGCAACGGGGTTGTTTACGGCGAGGTTCAAGAGGAGTTTGAAGCCGGACTCGGAACCGACAAAAAGCTGGACTAACGGCTCGGGTTTTCCTCGCGCTTTTATCGCGGCTTTGTAACGCATACATTAATAAAGTTGTTGTAAGATTTACGCGGTGTTATTTTCTTTTCGCGAAGCAAAGCAACGCGGTTGGAACGTGACAAAACGCGGTCGCAGACGCAACATTTGGGGGCTCGTCCGGGATAAAGTTTGAAAGATCGGCGGCATGGCTCTTGTGCACTCGCCGCGAAGAACGCGCAAGTAGATCGCGGCAGGAGCGGCGAAGGCGTCAGCGGAGCTGGCGGCGACGATGAACGTTGATATAGAAAGCGACTCTTTTGTTGCGAGAAAGCGCGGACGGGGAGAGACGGCGACGGAAGCCACGGCTCTTCAGGTCGCTTTAAAGGAGATTCGAGAGCTGCGGGAGGAGCGACAGCGTAAGCGCGAGCTGTTTTGTCGGCAAAAAGATAAATTCGGTGCCTTTACGGCAGCAAAAAGAAGAGATCCGACATTCGGAAGAGCAATTGCGACAGGGCGTTACAAGCGAGTCATTTCCAAATTCATTAAATTGCGCGGGCGCTACGCCAATGAGTGTTAAAGTAAAGCCGGATGTGTTTGACGGAAGCGGGCCGTTGCGGGAGTTTTTGACGCAGTTTAAGTTGGTCGCGCGCGCAAACGGATGGGACGGAGAGGCGAAGGCGTTAATGTTAGCGACAAATCTGCGGGGAAAGGCGCGCTCTGTGTTGGAGGGATTGGAGAGAGAGATTTTGTACGGCGAGGTGCGTTCCCGGTCGGAGCTGCGTTTTGGAGAGCAGGAACTCTTCCAGAGTTATTACGTTCAATTTACAAATCGTAAACAGGGGAGCGGCGAGGATTTCGCGGCGCTTGGCGCAGACTTGGAGCGTTTGTCGCGTCTCGCGTATCCTGAGTGTACGCATGCAGTCTAGGAGAAGATCGCTTGCGCGCAGTTTATTGCCGCTTTTTCCGACGGCTTTGTTACGCGCATGTTGCAGTTGAAGAACGTGACCTCATTGAAGGCTGCCGTTAAACGGGCAAAAACAATTAAATTAATACAAAGAAATAGTTTTCGGGGCGGAGAGGGGTCGAATAAGTTTAGAAGGAACGCTAATCATCGGGAAAACGGGCAAAGTTCTAGTTTCAAGGAGGGAAAAGACGCCCGCGACGGGGGCAAAGTGGCTGGTGAACCGAAAAGGTCACAGAAGCCGGAAGCTGGAGGGGGTAAAAAAGAAAAAGAGTGTTGGAAGTGTGGCAAGAAGGGTCACTTCCGTTACGAGTGCCCGGCCAACCTCTCGAAAAACAAGGTTTAATCGAGTTTTTGGGGATGGGTTCGTCTTTGAAGGGGAACACCCCGGGGAAAAAGTTTGTTGTAAATAAAGTAAATTTTGGGAGAAATAATTCGTTCGTGTTTTCCGGCTTGTTAAATGATAAAGTGTGTTCTTCTAAATTTGATACGGGCTCCGATGTGTCGATCGTGAATTTTAATTTTGTAGAAAGGTCGTGGTGTCAGAAGTTGGCAGGGAGGTTGAGTTTGAGATATCCTACCGGGGAGAAGGTTCCTGTTGAATTCAGATGTGTGGCTCGAATAGTCGTAGGGGGACGTTCTTTGAAAATGCCTCTTTATGTAGCAAATATATTCGACGACTGTATTTTAGGAGTAGACTTTTTCAGGAAGACAGGGTTGGATAGGATGATGAAGATTC